GCGCACAACTCCCTCGACGGGCCCATCCCGGAGTCCCTCACCAAGCTCACCAAGCTGCAACACCTCGACCTCTCCGCCAACAGACTCAACGGCACCATCCCGGCCCAGCTCGCCGCGCTGGCGGACATCAAGGCGCTCGACCTCTCCGGGAACACTCTCGCCGGCGAGATCCCGCCGGGGCTCGACAACCTCACCGCCACGCTCCAGTCCTTCAACGTCTCCTACAACAACCTCTCCGGCGCGGCGCCGTCGTCGCTGGCGCGCAAGTTCGGCGAGCCCGCGTTCACGGGGAACGTCCTCCTCTGCGGGTACTCTGCTTCCACGCCCTGCCCGGCGCCCCCGTCCCCCGCGCCGGCGTCGCCCGCGGAGGAACCGTCGCGCGGAGGCCGCAAGTTCAGCAGGAAGGCGCTCGTGCTCATCATCGCCGGGATCGTCGTCGGCGTCCTCGTCCTGCTGCTCCTCTGCTGCCTCCTGCTCTGTTTTCTGAGCAGGAACAAGAGGTCTTCCGGCACTTCCGGCAGCACTGCCGGAACACGGAGCGGGAAGCAGGCGGCCAAGGAGGCCAGTGGTGCCGCCGCGGCTGGGCGCGGCGAGAAGCCCGGGTCTGGCGCGGCGGAGGTGGAGTCCGGCGGCGACGTCGGCGGCAAGCTGGTGCATTTCGACGGGCCGCTGGCGTTCACGGCTGACGACCTGCTGTGCGCCACGGCGGAGATCATGGGGAAGAGCACCTACGGCACGGTGTATAAGGCCACGCTAGAGGACGGCAGCCTGGTTGCCGTCAAGCGCCTCAGGGAGAAGATCACCAAGGGACACAAGGAGTTCGAGGCCGAGGCGGCGGTGCTCGGCAGGATCCGCCACCCCAACCTGCTGGCGCTCAGGGCATACTACCTGGGACCAAAGGGGGAGAAGCTACTCGTCTTCGATTACATGCCCAACGGCAGCCTCCACTCATTCTTGCACGGTCAGATTTCTCCTCTTCTCCTGTTCAATGTTCATTGTTCAGTACTGTTCATTTCTGAATTCTGATGTATGATTCACAAATCGTAGTTCATAGCTAATTCTTCAAACTACTGTTAAGCAATTCGTATGAGAAATGCTTGGGACACTACCAATTGAGAGGGAATTTCTCTAAGTATTAGGGAATTTGTATGTCAACAGTTCTAGCTTGTTAACTGCTGTCTGCTAGTACGTTTCAGCAAATGCTTGGTCTGAACATGTACAGATTCAGTCATTGGAGCAAACTGTATTCTGTTAGCCAGTTCAACTTTGACTTGCATAGTTTGCAGAATTTCAGCAAATGTTCTTGATTCAGGAGTTGTAAGACTGACTGTCAAAAACCCTGTCAGTCAGTTCAGAGCATCAGCAGAATCGTTCAGTAGTATGCACATGCACGGACTGTTGGGGGCAGATTTGGGCCAAACAAGGGATGGATTAGGATCTGTAGTTAAGAATGGATTGCCTCAACATAAAATTTGTTGATAATTTGTCCACAGCTAGGCATGTTTCGGTATTCAGAAATCAGAACCTTTTCAACTGAAACTTTGTAACAGTTGTGAGCTGAAGCTCTGAAGTTAAACTGACACTGTTTCCTGTGAATTGGGTCTAACAATTGATAAATTAATTATTCTTTGTCCAAGTAAAGGTCAAGTTATTGTTTGGACAGTACCTCATCAGCAATGAGCATCATTCAGTTTTCTTTTGAATTCTGCTGATAATTTTTTTCCCCAGTTTATTCATGCCATTTCTTAGTATCCATGCGAGACTCTGCACTTCGACACTGAAACTGACACTCTGAAATTTGATGTTTCCTAATGATCTGTTCAGCTCGTGCTCCAAACACGCCGGTGGACTGGGCGACGCGGATGATGATCGCCAAGGGCACGGCTCGTGGCCTGGAGTACCTGCACGACGACATGAGCATCGTGCACGGCAACCTGACGGCCAGCAACGTGCTTCTGGACGAGCAGCAGAGCCCCAAGATCTCCGACTTCGGGCTGTCGCGGCTGATGACGACTGCGGCGAACTCCAACGTGCTGGTGGCGGCGGGCGCGCTGGGGTACCGCGCGCCGGAGCTGTCGAAACTGAAGAAAGCCAGCACCAAGACGGACGTGTACAGCCTGGGCGTCATCATCCTGGAGCTGCTGACGGGCAAGTCCCCCGCCGAGAGCACCAACGGCATGGACCTGCCGCAGTGGGTCGCGTCCATCGTGGAAGAGGAGTGGACCAGCGAGGTGTTCGATCTGGAGCTGATGCGCGACACCGCCGCTGCGGCCACCGCCGGGGACGAGCTCATGGACACGCTCAAGCTCGCGCTGCACTGCGTCGACCCGGCGCCGGCGGTCAGGCCCGAGGCACGCGAGGTGCTGCGGCAGCTCGAGCAGATCAAGCCTGGCCCTGAGGGCGGCGCTGGGCCGAGCGAGGAAGGTGGCGCCGCGCATTCTGCTTCTGCCGGAGGAGATGACGAGTAGCAGCCACCGCATCATACCAGGCAGAAATTACGAAAAGAGAAGGAATGGTTTAAGTAGAAAGAGAGATATCTAGGAATTCTTTGATTCTTTGTTCCACCGGGGATTGGATTAGCCACCCCTTCGTCATTTCTTGCGTTTCTAGGTAATTTTCAGTTTGTATAGGCAAATATTACTTGCACTACCGGGGATTGGATTAGCCTACGACGAAGGATGGAAAAAGGAGAATACTACTAGTATTAATAATGCAATTTTTTTTTCTATTTGATGATTTAGGCTACGTTCCATTTTGTCTCTGGACTCAAGTTTAGCCCTTTGGTATGGATTGAAGCTACTATATAAGACCAAAATAGCCTTCTTATCTTCTTCTTCCCCTCTCCCACCCTGACCTCGCGACTACACAGCACGCGGCAGCGCCCTCACTCACCCCAGCGGCTCCGTCCCCCACCTCGGTGGCTACCTCCCCCAGGGCGGGCGCTCCCTCCCCCACCCCCGACGCGTAGCCATGGCGGCCTCCCGGACCCTGGCCCGGCGGCGACCACCCCCACCTCGACGGCTACCTCACCCACCCCCGACGCGCAGCCATGGCGGCCTCCCCCCACCCCGGCGGCCTCCCCCACTCCGACGGTTCCCTCCCACGTGGCGGCGAGGTGACGTTCGCGCTCGCCTCCATCGCGCCGGGGTGGGCCGGCTCGGCCGCAAGCACGGTGTCGCAGCGCGAGCGTCGGGGGTGTCAGTGCGGTGCACGAGCAAAGGGGCTAGGGGGACCTTGAGTGCATTAATGAGTGGCAAAGGGGGTGTCTTTTGCTTCGTTTAGTCCCCTTATTCACTCCCTTGGGGACCAGAGGACTAACAGCCGGTTCATTTCAGCTTATTCGCTCGTATTTAGCTTATAATCTAGGATTTGAACAGTATTTTTCTCTCACACCAAACCAGCCAGCAGTACTTTCAGCCATGGCTTATAAGCCAATTCAACTGAAACGAACAGGCTGTAAACCAGTTTAGTCATTTTTTAGTCCCCTATTTGGTAATTTAGTGACTAAAAAGGGTCAAACCAAAGTTTAGTCACCTGGAACCTAACAGAGCCTTACTTGTCTGGCCATGGACGAGGGCGGTGATGGATCAGCATGTGAGTAGCTTCTGAACTTGCCAGTGTTAGCTGATCTGTTTCTGTTGTACAGCAATAGCAATAGCAATAGCAATAGCCTGAATTACTGAGTTTGTGTCATGTGACTGTGAGATCACATGAACAAACAAGGCTAATCAACTGAAGACTCGAGTGAGTGTGCGTGTAAACATTTCACTGCAACACAGTCCGGTTCAGTAAGATGCAAACAACACCAGCAACTTCTGAAAAATGTAACTGCATGTGTCAACATATGTTCACATTCTAAAAAAAAAGGTTACAGAATTGACGCATTGGGTGGGGATTGAAAATAATAAATACTAAAAATCAAGCATATAACCGCGAGGTGCTGAGGGCTGCTGCAGATCCAGAAGATCAGGCCCGCCCGACCCCGAGGGCGGCGCTGGGCCGACCGAGGAAGGTGATGCCGATGTGTCGTGGTGGTGCCGGCGGCTTGTGCAGGATATGACTACCAGGCGCGCCAACCGCTTACAGAGAGAGAATATTATCTAGGAATTCAGCGTAGCAAGGGGAGGGGGATCACTTCGTTCAATTCATTTCTGCCGCCGTTACTACTAGGTACTCGAGTCTCTTGTTGTATAGGCAAGCAAATGTTATTTTTTTTGCATTAGAAATCAACCGCTCTACGAAAGTACTAGTACATGCGTGAAGGCAGGACCAGTATTGAGAAACAGAAATACTACTAGTACACACATATAAGAGTGCCCATCGTGAGGATGATTGTGGATCAGGTGTCGTTTCTCTGAAATTGCTACAGACTGCAGTCCTGTTCATGCCCTCCGACAGTCCGACGGCTGCTCATCCGTATATTCCTGTAGGGCTGAATAAACGTGGTGTCGTGTCCATCACCGATTTGACATTGATTTGTATCTTGATATTGATTTGAGGAGCTAATATGGTGTTTGTTTGAGGAATGTGTTGGTTAGTCTATCATCTTCTCACTTTTTTTTTTTTTGTTCTTGTTGTTGTTTGGTTTGTAGAATAGAACGGGTTAATGCATGTCACCTTATTCCTCACGAGCTAATAATTAGTATTACTATTGAGGAATAGAGTCATTCCACCAATGCACCCATAAATGCATCATCTGCTCTAGAATAGTTTGATTCCTCAGGCCAAACACGTATAATCGATTGTTTTCTTTTCACCTAGTACGAGTATTTGTTAGAGCTACAACATTGTATCTAATAACTTGCTTATGGCTGAGCGACGGGAAATAGAGCATCCACAAGCAAAAGTAGCCACAAATTTAACGTGTCCTATAGCTGAGACACGAACCAAGCAAGCACATATAGCAAATTTACATATATACAATGTCCAACAATCGTTTTTCACCGTTTTTTTGTTGGAAAACAAATGGTACAAGAACACGAACGAGAATCAATGCCTAATTAATCCAAGTGAAGAAGCCAATCCATTCTCCTATGTGGAGGCATCTCAAGAAAGAGCTCCATGAAGATCTTCTTCTTGCCAAACCTGTCAACAGCCTTGGCATATTGTGCTCCACTAACACCAGATAACGCATTGAGCGCTTGCATACTTCTACTTACTAGCTCATCAGTTTGGGCAGAGTTGGACAATGAAGGACTGTGGGCACACGATGGCGGCGATCTTCTTGCTACTATTCTCTGGGGGTGGCCATGTTCGTGCAGGGAAGTTTCCGAGCACCTGAACAGGGAAGATTCTCCTTTAGATCGATTGTCCTCACTGCTTTCGCTTGTACAAGCAGACAGTTCTGAGCTGCCAGGCCGCTCAGATTTCCTCGTTACTTCAGATTGATTTTCCTCACTGCTTCCACCTCTATTAGCAGACAATTCTGAACTTTCAGGTTCAGACTCTCTCACTCCCTCAGGTAGGTTGTCCTCGCTACCTCCGCTTGTACTAGCTGACAGTTCCCCACCTCGCGGCTGCCCATGCTCCTTTGTGAGAAGTACAAGAGGCGTGTTAGAAAGCATGTCCAAGTTAGTATACTATTGAACAACTTCCAAGTTTGTATATTTGATGCCAAATGCTAATAATATTGCAGGTAATGATTAGTACACCATCCGAATTCCATATATTGCACAGAAAATTAAAAGTTTGCTTAGGATGCGTCTGACTACATTACTAGCATTATCGACTTAATGGGAATGGCCAAAAAGAAATAAGACACTAAAACAGGAGTGGGCAAAGAGAGAATTACAAAAAATTTGACGGCTGAAGACAGAATACAACTACAATTACTTACAAAAGGAGAGAGAAAAAAAAGAATCCCCTATTTTTTATTTAAACAATGAAAATGTAGGAAAGTCGACATAACGTATAAACATTTTTTCTTCTTCCGTATGATTGCGCCAAGAGTAAAACATATGCTGCAAGTATTTTTATTATTAACCAATTTTGAATTCAGATGAATTATATGAAAGTTTGGATTAGATAAAGCCAGGTTGATCCTCTGGGTAAGTAGACCAGAAGCTCCATATAGACCAATAAAAAATTCATATAAATAAATAAATATGTGGTGGCATGCATATTTCAACATCACAATCTGCCAAAATTTGGATGTTAGATCAAAACTAGGCATACCCTCCTCAAATTCAGATTGAATATGACAATTTAGCTGGAGGAAACAGAAAGAAAATCTTGACGGATTTCAGGGTCACTTGGAGGCAAACTAGACACCAAATGTCACACAATCGCAATGTTACCAGCACCTTTTTACAGCCTTGATGGAGGTACCTGATCTTGAAACAATACAAAGCCTTGTATTAAGGGGAAGGAAATGAAAAACTTACTATGTTAGAGCTCGAAGTTGGCAGCAGGAGATTCCAGAACTTGGATTTTATCAGGAGACCAGATCTCTCACAGATTTCGAGCTTGGGATGGTTGGGAAGGGTGGCAGCTGAGCTGCTGATGTCGGTCACCATGGTGTGCATCTCCTCTCTTGCTCCGTAAGAATCAATGATGACCCCAAGATACTTGAGGCTCAAAAGGTTCACGATGCCACTATGGTTGTAGTCGAACCTGGCTGTTTTCTTTGCTTGAAACAGAGGCGAAAGATTTGGAGGCTGGCATGGAACCCGGTGCAAACACGAGCCCAATCCCGCCTCCCATTCTGTGGAAATGGAACTGACGAAGATGCTGGAATCCTTGGTCGGCAATGGAGAGAATTTCCCAGGGCCCTGTGAACACTTTCAGGTCAAGAAATAGAAGGCCAGGTATGCAGCCAAGGATACGGGGATCAGCTTCCCCTTCCATCCTGCCTACTGTGATTTCGAGGTGGGTGAGATTAACAAGATTGGCCATCCAGCCATGAACCCTGGGAATGACATCCCATATGACAAGTTTTTGCAGATGTGGAATTGTGAACCCCTCAACCATCAAATATTCAAGAGGAGACTTGTTAATGTCCCAGATTTGTAGTGATTGAAGGCTATGTTTTCCCAATGCACTCAGAGATGATACCAATGTTTGTATTTTGCTGCTTTCCATGTCACCATGCATCTCATCAAGATCCAGGCACTCTATCTCGAGCACTCTCAGTCTTGCCAGCTGCCCTAGCTCTTCTACAAATTCTGTAGACTGGCAGAAGACACGGGATAGCTCCTGCAAAGCTTGCATGCTCCCTATCTTATCTGGCAGCCTAACACCCCTATGAACAAATAACCGGACTAACCTGCATAATCGGACAAGGGTTGGTGGCAATTTTCTCATTACACTGCATTGTGTTAGATCTAGTGTTTGTAGGAATTGCAGATCCCCAATTTGCTCTGGAAGTTCCACAATGTCTCCTCCCAATCTTAAATATCTCAACTGATGAAATCTTGGTATACTAGCAATAATGCATTTAATCTTCAAGCATTCGCAAGCTCCCAGATCCAAAACTCGTAAACAATGAGATTCTGAAAATAGCGATGTGTTACTAGCACACCCAAAGGTATTAAGTGAACGAATCTGCGATCCATTTTTCACAGTGATTTGTTTCACTTCTTCGGTACAATCAGATTGTATCGACAACCTGCGTATCTTATCTGGAAAAGCTTGCAACTCCTGACCACCTAGCCTGGTAATGAAGTTCTCTTTTGTTGACAAGGATATGATAAGATCAAGAACTATATCATGGACTCGACAAGCGTCCACTCGCCCATCATACCAGATATCAACTGGTTGGATCATGCTTCTGTTTATAAGCTCATTGAAGTAGCTCTCTCCGACTTGCTCCAACCTTTGCCCCCTTTCTTCCATAATAAATCCTTCAGCTATCCATTTCCATAATAAATGATCTTTTTTAATCTCATAGTCCTCCGGAAATATACTTAGATATAATAAGCAAGTCTTTAGATGACAAGGGAGATCATAGTAACTGAACAATAGTATCTTTCTCATTCCTTCTAATTTAGGACTACTTTCTAGTGCAGAACTAAGAGAATCCCTTACTCTCTCCCATTGCTCCTTTGTATCTGGTTTTGAAGCCAACATACTAGCAATACTGATTATAGCCAACGGCATGCCACCACATCTCTTTAATATTCCAGTCGATATTTCTTTCAGTTGAGGTGGGCAACTGTGTTCAGAGCCAAAAATTCTTCTTAAAAATAGCCTCTGGGAGTCTTCATCACAAAGGGGTCCAATTTGAAATACATGATCATGTCTGTAAGGGCAACAAGATTTAGCTACATCAACAATGCGAGTAGTTGTCATTATTTTACTATTGTACGTGTTATCAGGCAATGCACATTTCACGACTTCCCATGCTTGCACGCTCCAAATATCATCAATGACGATCAGGTACCTGTATGTATATTTGAAGCAGCGAGTCAATGTGGAGTCAAAATGGCAAAGATTGTGTCTGTAGTTTGGTCTATCAGAATTCGGTATATATCATGCTAGAACTTCACAGAAATCTGAAAAGGATTATGCAAACCACTTTCAACTAATCTAGTTTATAAGGGAAAATAGCAGCAAAGACTCAAATACTGTATGACTTGCATCTCTCTCAACCCCAGGCTCTCTTTATATACCGCAGGCGTACGCGCGGGCCGCGCCGCCACCGCGCTGGGCGGGCACGCTGGCCGCCCCGCCGCCGCCGCCGCCGCTGCGCTGGGCGAGCGCGCGTGCCATGCCGCCAGGGGCCGCGCGCGCTGGGCGAGCCACGGCGGCCGCCGTGTCAAGGCGGCCGGGGCCCGCGCTGGGAGAGCCGCACCGGCAGCTGCGCCGGGGCCGCCGGAGCTAGAGAGGGCGAGCCGTGCCCCGGCAGCTGCATCGAGAGACTGAGGGAGAGAGGCGACGGAGAAGAGAAGAAGATGATCGCAGACATTTGCAGCCTGTTCGGGAGGCCGTATCGTGGATTATTTATCGCTGGCTGGTTTGGTGTGGGAGAAAAACACTGTCCCTAACTGAAAATTTAAGATTGTTTACGAGCCAGCGAACAGCTTTTGATAGGTGAGTCATGAGTGAGTCCCACCCAAATAAAAGAGATGGGTTTGTCATACTGCAGCAATAGTTCTTTAAAAACACAAATTCAGTTTTCTTGATCCACAACCTAACCCTAAACCCTAAAAAAAAGTTGAGAGCATATTTATTAGTTTCCTCTAACAATTTCTAAAATATTCATCCTATAAAATATAGGCCCTGTTCGCTTGTTTAGCTTGTTCGGCTTGTTTTTTCAGCTGGAACAGTGTTTTTTTCTCATAACAATTCAGCCGGAACAGTGTTTTTCAGCCAGTTTCAGCCAAAATTCAGACCAGCGAACAGGGCCATAGAAGACAATTTTACATCAGAATCTTGGACTATTTCTAATCATCCTAACTAATTTTATATTTTCTATCTTCTTGTATATTTGTATCAAGAACTTTATCCTATCTTTTTTTTCTTCCCCATATCCTTCCACCTTTACACAGGCAGCGTTGGATTGTTTTACCCAAGTGTGGAGGAGATATTGGCCCTGTTCGCTTGTTTTATAATCCATATTTTTTAACTTGTTTTTTCAGCTGGAACAGTATTTTTCTCTCACAACAAATTAGCCGGAACAGTGTTTCGGTTTGTTTTTTCAACGAAGCGAACGGGCCATTGGGAGTTGATATAGGGAATTGTTGGAGAGCATTTTTTCTAATCTTGCTAAAAAATTTAGATTGGGAATGGGTTTTGAAAACTCTTAGAGATGCTCTAACTACCATAATTTCCTCTTCAATAACAATTACACTTATAACTAATCCAACCCACCTTAATCTTCACGCACCTTTCATCACTATTTATGAAATCCATGACAACCATATCCGGTGCCAAGAATACCACAACATGCCTATCATCGTGATCTCAATTAAGATTCCTAGGTATGTGAATTTTTTCCTATTTTGTGGCCATGTCTTCTAATTTTTGTATGAATTTTTTGGAAAACATTTCTAGGGGTGGGCCATGTTATATTAGTCGCGGCTAAAACCGGTTTTAGGGGCGGCTGCATATCTGCCCCTAGAAAATTGCTAAACCCCATGCTTGATCTCTAGAGACGCTTGAATAAAGGCGGTTGCACCATCCTAAAAATTGTTTTTGGCCGTTTCTAGAAATACTCTTGCATTGTTAGTGCGGATATCTAAATTATTTTCTGGCCGTCTAGTATCCGAACTCTTTTCAGACAGACGGTCTATCGGTCCCGGATGCCTACTTGCGTTGCAGGAACGGGAACAAGAAGGCAAGCCTAGCTTTGAGCAGCCGCTTGCATTGTGCGTCAGTTCCTTGGGTGACAGGAACGGAAACAAGAAGGCAGGCCTAGCTGATTATAAGTTCATAATGTTAGGTTTGATCTCCCACACCATTAGGCCCAACGGCCTTTGGGCCTTGTTCTCGCGCTCTGATCGGGGGCGCCCAACCCTACATGGTTGGTGGGCCCCCGTCGCACAGCGCTATAAAGGAAAGGTGGGGGCCGGGGCTCGCAGTACGAGGTTCACCGCGCCGCCAGTCACCCCACCGACATCCTAACCTTAGACCCGATCTTGAGAAGAAGCGGCTGCCGGACGGAAGCAGCACCACGCCGCAAGCAGCGCCACCCGATGCACACTGCGCCGCCGAGGGCATACAGCGCCGACTCCCTCTCCACCGAACGTCGGCTGCCGGCAGCAGATGGCGTCTGTCAACGAAACCCCGGCCAGAGCTTCGACCACTACGGCTTTCGATGGTTTGCTACCTATCAACCCCTTTCTCTCTGTCTCTTTGTGAATCCCGAACACCTATTCCTACTACCAATACATCCCGATCCGATGAACATGCCTAAAAATGAACACTAACAATGGTACCGGAGCCACGGTTCGATAAGAAATCAGATCGGGGAAGTGAAACCGACCGATCTGATGCGGATCGGGAAAGAAAATAGAAAGCCAAACCCTAAGACCTAACCCTAATTTCCCAAATCAAATCGAAAAAGAAGGAAAAGGGAGGGTCGGATTCGAGAACCCTAGCGCGCAAATCCGAAAAGAGAGAAAAGGGAAGAAGAAAGAAAGAAAGGTGAAACCCTAACCCTAATCCCGCTTTTCCATTCGGATGAGCGAAGCGAAAAAAGCGAAAGCAAAGAAAAGCGAATCGGCAAGAACGAACCCTAACCCTAACCCTATTTTTTTCCCATTCGGATAAACCCGAAAAGAACAACTCAAAATCGGAAAGGGAAAATGCGTTAGGGTTAGGGTGCGTCAGATGAACCTTTTTCATTTGGCATGGGGAGAAGAAGCCGAGCGGGGGGCATGGGCTCGTGTGTTTCGGCCAAGGAAGCGCCATGCAGTTGAGGCCGCTCGACGGCGGCGTGCTCACCCATTGGGGAGCACGTGCGCCGACGAGGGGGCCGGCGATGGCGCCAAGGCTCGCCATGGCCGCCCGCTCTACTTTCTCGCTCTTCATGCTTGCGTGGTGGTTTTGTCTTATTTCTTGGTGAGAAGAGAGAAAGAGCGAAGAGAGAGAAAGGGAAGAGCCGAATGACCTAGGGTTTTCAGGCCCATGGCGGCGTTGGTTTTGATCCGGCCGAAGACTGCGCAGACGACCGTCCGATCAAAACCAACGCCACCCACGGACCTCGGCCATCGCTTGCGCCAAAGTGGTAGGGTATGTGCTGGCTTTTTGCTTTAGCCAGCCCAAGTTGCGGCTCAGGTGCGGCTGTCAAGACGAGGACAGGCTGGCGAGCCGTTTTCAGCGCGTCTTGGGCCACGCCGGGCTGAAATGAAAGAAGGAAGAAATAAATTTTCTTATTATTTTTTCCAGGAGCAATTTTAATGCATATTTTTTGATGAATTTGAATGATTTTGGTACAATTTTCTGTGCAAATTTTATCCAATGATATTTTGCTCAGAAAACAATGAATTTTTTAGTGCTTCTGGAAAATAATAATATGAAAAGATTATTAATGTTTCCGCTGTGTATGATAATTATTGTTCTCTTTGATTAAATTTGAACTAACGGGATAATTTAATTTTAAGAGAAATGAATTTCTGATAATTTTGATGCGATTATGGTATTTTTATTTTCTGACCAACGTTGTTAATAACAATATTATAATTTTGATCCATGAGAAATTGTGCATTAATTTTACTTCTGCCCAATGATGATGTAAAAATGTTTGCATGGATGAATTATAAGTTTTAATTTGACCAGCGTTGAGTTAAAGCATGAAATTTTATGTATAAATGTGTCTTACTTACTCTGGTGTGATTTTAGGAGGCAAATGCATTGTGAACATTGCCAACATCCCGACACTCAACGGAACCAATCACCGTGTGTGGCGGGAGAAGTATGAATTGGAACTTGCGTTGGGAGAGGTCGATTTTGCCATCACCTCACCGTGTCCTACTGAGCCAGAGGACCCGGTGAGAGGTGACAATGAACCTGACGCTGATTTCGCTGCTCGAAAGCGTGATCATGCTGAAATAAGAATGAAATATGACCTTGAACATAGGCAATGGACTCTCCAACCGCAAAGTGCTGTTGGTAGCCAAAGCCACCATAGAAGAGCAGATAAGGGGCTCAATCCACAGAATGTGCTCTTGCCAAAGAATATCTTGAGAAAATCAAGAGTCGGTTCTTTGGGTCTACCAAGGCCTGACAAGTTCATCGATTAAGAAGCTTGTGAATGAGAAATTCACTGGTGGTAGCATAAGAGAGCACATTTTGAAGATGAACACTACGGCATCTAAGCTAAAAGAAATGAATTTGAAGGAGGAGGATTTCCTGATTCATTTGATTTTTGCTTCTTTGCCAAAAGAATATGACACCTTTATTGTGAACTACAATATGCAGCCTGAAAGATGGGGCATAGAAAGACTCATCTCGATGTGTGCTCAAGAAGAGGAGAGGATAAAGTCCTCATAAGGTGAATCTGCTCATTTTGTGAAGGATAACAAAAGAAAGAACTTTAATGGCAAGAATTCTAAACCACAAGAGATACCTAAGTGGGATAAGGCCTCTTCCTCCAATTCACAGGAAAAGAAACCCCAGGATTCTGAGAATCAGCAGTATGGTGGAGCTAAAAAGGATCAGTGCAAGCACTGCTTCAAGAAGGGACACTACAAGAGGGATTGTCCAGACTTCCTAAAATCTCTGCTAAAGAAAGATGATGAATTTATTACATTTGTAGATGAATCCCTGTATTTATGTTATGATAAATTCACTTGGTGGGTTAATTCAGGAGCAACTACTCATATTGCAAATTCTTTACAGGGGTTAAGTGGGACGAGAACCTTGCAAAGAGGAGAAAGAACGATTAAAGTTGCAAATAGAGTACAAGCCAATGTTGAAGCCATTGGAGATTTTTCTTTAGAATTGAATAATGGTTTTGTACTTAGACTTAAAGAAGTACTTTATGTTCCCTCTTTGCGTAGAAATTTGATAAGTGTTTCGAAACTTGATGATGATGGAATTGATTGCCATTTTGGTGATGGCAAGTGTAAGATACTGGTTAATAATAAATGTGTTGGTCTTGCCTTCTGACAAGACAAGCTTTATTTATTATCTCTTGCTGAGAATGCGAACAATGTATGTGATGAGAATGTGAATGATTCTCCATCTACGGATGTAACTAAGAAGCGGAAGAGAATTGATACTGTCTCTTTGAAATTATGGCATTGTCGCTTGGGCCATATTTCAAG